AAAGGAATACAAGAGTTAGTAACTGGGCGTCCACAATGCAAGCTGAATTGGTAGCAATACTTATAACTCAAAATTATTGACTACACTGAAGTAGACAGCTAATTTATTTCCGACTACACTGTGACTACTACTACACCGACTATTTCCTCACTCCGAGCAATAAATAGTTTGCAATCAAATAATAACGTGCTTGTCTCAGAAGCCAGACATAGATATATAAGCATACTTAGCAAGAAGGTAAATATGAAAATGTTGTGGATTCCTTCTCACATTGGCCTGCAGGAACATGACAAAGTTGACGCCCTTGCTAAGGCTGCAGTAAATAAAGACAGTATTGAGCGGAATCTTGAGTTATCAAATTGGTCCCTTAAAAGTGTCATTAGCCGAGAACTCTTGGATGAATTTAAAGAAAGTAGAACAGTGCAAACTGAAACCAGCAGGTCCATTGTTTACCTTAATGAAATGTGTGAAGTAAAACACGTGTATGGGGCAAGTAACAAAATAAGCAGACTAACAAACGTTGTCACAGCTCGAATGAGACTTGACTACAAGTATCTCTGGCAGTTCGGCTTGTATTGGATCTCGATGAAGTAAAGTGTAAAGTGTGTGGACATAGGCAGGGACACACACTCGAACACTATATCTTGGACTGTAGTAATATTGAGCCATTTAGAGATAAATCAAAACTCACGTTCTATGAAATGGCAAACCATCTTATTACTAAGGATAAAATACCTGAAATCCTTGCACTGTATCCATATTTCCCTTCCAGTAGATAAACGACATATGAGATTAAGAAACAAGTAGTGTATTGTGAAGACTAATAATAACAAACAGCATATCCCCAATGACTGTAATATCCCCAATGACTGTAATATCCCCAATGACTGTAATATCCCCAATGACTGTAATATCCCCAATGACTGTAATATCCCCACTGCTCAAACAATTATGTATAAGCGGTAAGACCTACCATTAATGTATAATGACTTACTGTAAATATATAGCTCTTGAAATAGAAAATTTTCTGTAACTAGCTGACACGGTAATTATAAGGTGTTAAGGATAGATGATATTGTTAATGTAATTATCTCCGGTGAGGTCTGATAAAGACCTTTTGTGCCCTCTGTAATCCTTTTTGCGCTACCGCTCACAGGATGAGTATGGGGTGCACAATAAACTAACCGCCTTCGGCGGCAACAATCAAAATCAGTTGAGAATAAGGGTGATGTACAGTGAGGTGATGTACAGTGAGGTGATGTACAGTGAGGTGATGTACAGTGATGTGATGTACAGTGATGTGATGTACAGTGAGATGATGTACAGTGATGTGATGTACAGTGAGGTGATGTACAGTGATGTGATGTACAGTGATGTGATGTACAGTGAGGTGATGTACAGTGAGGTGATGTACAGTGAGGTGATGTACAGTGAGGTGATGTACAGTGAGGTGATGTACAGTGAGGTGATGTACAGTGAGGTGATGTACAGTGAGGTGATGTACAGTGAGGTGATGTACAGTGAGGTGATGTACAGTGAGGTGATGTACAGTGATGTGATGTACAGTGAGGTGATGTACAGTGATGTGATGTACAGTGAGGTGATGTACAGTGAGGTGATGTACAGTGAGGTGATGTACAGTGAGGTGATGTACAGTGAGGTGATGTACAGTGAGGTGATGTACAGTGAGGTGATGTACAGTGAGGTGATGTACAGTGATGTGATGTACAGTGAGGTGATGTACAGTGAGGTGATGTACAGTGAGGTGATGTACAGTGAGGTGATGTACAGTGAGGTGATGTACAGTGATGTGATGTACAGTGAGGTGATGTACAGTGAGGTGATGTACAGTGAGGTGATGTACAGTGAGGTGATGTACAGTGATGTGATGTACAGTGAGGTGATGTACAGTGATGTGATGTACAATGAGTGGTGATGTACAGTGAGGTGATGTACAGTGAGGTGATGAGTGTGATGTACAGTGAGGTGATGTACAGTGATGTGATGTACAGTGAGGTGATGTACAGTGATGTGATGTACAGTGAGGTGATGTACAGTGATGTGATGTACAGTGATGTGATGTACAGTGAGGTGATGTACAGTGATGTGATGTACAGTGAGGTGATGTACAGTGATGTGATGTACAGTGAGGTGATGTACAGTGATGTGATGTACAGTGAGGTGATGTACAGTGAGGTGATGTACAGTGAGGTGATGTACAGTGAGGTGATGTACAGTGAGGTGATGTACAGTGAGGTGATGTACAGTGAGGTGATGTACAGTGAGGTGATGTACAGTGATGTGATGTACAGTGAGGTGATGTACAGTGAGGTGATGTACAGTGAGGTGATGTACAGTGATGTGATGTACAGTGAGGTGATGTACAGTGATGTGATGTACAGTGAGGTGATGTACAGTGAGGTGATGTACAGTGATGTGATGTACAGTGAGGTGATGTACAGTGAGGTGATGTACAGTGAGGTGATGTACAGTGAGGTGATGTACAGTGAGGTGATGTACAGTGAGGTGATGTACAGTGAGGTGATGTACAGTGAGGTGATGTACAGTGAGGTGATGTACAGTGATGTGATGTACAGTGAGGTGATGTACAGTGATGTGATGTACAGTGAGGTGATGTACAGTGAGGTGATGTACAGTGAGGTGATGTACAGTGATGTGATGTACAGTGAGGTGATGTACAGTGATGTGATGTACAGTGAGGTGATGTACAGTGATGTGATGTACAGTGAGGTGATGTACAGTGAGGTGATGTACAGTGAGGTGATGTACAGTGAGGTGATGTACAGTGAGGTGATGTACAGTGATGTGATGTACAGTGAGGTGATGTACAGTGAGGTGATGTACAGTGATGTGATGTACAGTGAGGTGATGTACAGTGATGTGATGTACAGTGAGGTGATGTACAGTGAGGTGATGTACAGTGAGGTGATGTACAGTGATGTGATGTACAGTGAGGTGATGTACAGTGATGTGATGTCCAGTGAGGTGATGTACAGTGATGTGATGTACAGTGAGGTGATGTACAGTGATGTGATGTACAGTGAGGTGATGTACAGTGAGGTGATGTACAGTGAGGTGATGTCCAGTGAGGTGATGTACAGTGAGGTGATGTACAGTGAGGTGATGTACAGTGAGGTGATGTACAGTGAGGTGATTTACAGTTGTGAGGTGATGTACAGTTGTGAGGTGAACCTCATGGTAAGGTGAGGAACAGCACGGTAAAGATCCCGCTGTGTATCCTTGATCAGACCTGCTGCTGGACCTGGCCTCCAAGTGAACAGTCTGGTTTTTGGTCCTAGAAACTGAGAACTTATATATATATATATATATATATATATATATATATATATATATATATATATATATATATATATATATATATATATATATATATATATATATGCGAACAAGTCTGAATGGTCCCCCAGGACTATATGCGACTGAAAACTCACACCCCAGAAGTGACACGAACCCATACTCCCAGGAGCAGACCCGGTCCTAAGGAGCCGGTCGGCCGAGCGGACAGCACGCTGTACTTGTGATCCTGTGGTCCTGGGTTCGATCCCAGGCGCCGGCGAGAAACAATGGGCAGAGTTTCTTTCACCTATGCCCCTGTTACCTAGCAGTAAAACAAGTACCTGGGTGTTAGTCAGCTGTCACGGGATGCTTCCTGGGGGTGGAGGCCTGATCGTGGACCGGGCCGCGGGGACACTAAAAAGCCCCGAAATCATCTCAAGATAATCTCAAGATAACCCCTCGAACAGCTTCCCTCATTATGAGACATAATATCTTTGCCTTCTCTGATAAACTGATGTGTACTAATGAAGTATATTAAAAAAAAGTTATGGAGACTGTGCTGCACAATATATGCTACATTAGACACCACGAACACTGAGTAGATGTCTTACACTTCATTTGCAAGAGGGAGGTGTTAAGCAGCATCACTCCCAACACCACAACACCATCCTGAATCCCCAAGACATAGTGAACGATACGACAATAATCACATGCACTGACGATCGACGGAGGCCCCATACGCTTGAGGCCATGTTCAATCTAGAGCTGACTCTAGTAATCAACATTCAGATAAATTCGACTTCGAACATACAGCTGTTTGATGGTCCTCCATTAACCCAAAAGGGAGATGGCAGACCTGGTGGACAACTACAGTCTCCGTGGTGTAGTGGTAAGACACTCGCCTGGCGTTCCGCGAGCGCTATGTCATGGGTTCGTATCCTGGCCGGGGAGGATTTACTGGGCGCAATTCCTTAACTGTAGCCTCTGTTTAACTCAACAGTAAAATGTGTACTTGGATGAAAAAACGATTCTTCGCGACAGGGGATCGTATTCCAGGGACCTGCCCGAAACGCTACGCGTACTAGTGGCTGTACAAGAATGTATCAACTCTTGTATATATCTCAAAAAAAAAAAAAAAAACTAGACGCTGTAGTCAGGCATCAATCATCTCACCCTAGCCATCAGTGCTTAAAGATATGGTAAGGAAATTGATGCTTAACATGCACCCACAACATGCACCCACAACAATGCCAGAGTGACACCACTCGTGGCATTATTGGACACAAATATTTCATCAAATCACTTCAACATTATGGGGTCGCTCGAGCATCAAGTGTACGTAAGGCGTGAATGGTCCTTAAGTCAATATACAACCTAAAGAGAGAAATCGACCCGGGCACCACCGGGTACTCCCACTAGTGAGCTATATTGCAGAGAACAGACGAACTGTTGTCGTTTCGTGTAAGTCAAGAAAATGGCAATTCGATGTAGGGGGTAATGCTTGGTGGAGAAGGAGGGGGGATGGAAGCTTTTGGGCTCGGGTGGTCCCTGCACGGAGTGGGGGAAGGGTTTCTGGGCAAGAGGGGTTGTGGGAGGGGGGAAAGGGGGGGTTCTGGGTAGGGGGACATGCCTGGCGGGGGTGAAAAGTCATGGGAAGAGCGCTTTTTTTTTTTGTCTGAGCCTCTCACTTGTGACGCAGTATAAAGGAGGAGACGACGTTTCCCCACATCACAGTCATCTCTTCCCGACAACCATGAAGCTGGTAAGTAGTTGTGTGCGTGTGTGTGTGTGTGTGCGTGTATGATTATGTGTGTGTGTGCGTGTATGTGTGTGTGTGTGTGCGTGTATGTGTGTGTGTGTGTGTGTGTGTGTGTGTGTGTGTGTGTGTGTGTGAATGATTGTGTGTGTGAGCGTGCGTGTTCTCACCAAGATCTGCTTGCAGGGTCGAGCTAGGCTCTTGGCCCCGCCTTCCGAACGTTCTTAGATTAATGACTTATTTCTCACGCTTTTATCATATTTACATTTAAAACTTGGATTCGATTTAGCTTCAACGACTTCTGCGTCTAACCTGCTCCACTTATAGAGCTCTGACACTGAACACGTTCTTCCTGACGTCCCTGTGACTAATTTGCGTGTCCGTGTGTGCGTGTGTGTGTGTGTGTGTCTGTGTGTGTGTGTGCGTGTGCGTGTGTGTGAGTGTGAGTGTGTGTGTGTGTGTGTGTGTGTGTGTGTGTGTGTGTGTGTGTGTGTGTGTGTGTGTGTACGTGCGTGCGCCCCTTGTTCGTAAATAATGTCCTTGACTGGTCTATCAATTCCTTTCAAAGTTTTATAGGTAGCAATCACGTCTCCCCGAAACCTGCTGTTTTCCAGGGACGAGTGCGTGCTTGAAGGGGTTGAGCATCAGCTCCGTGACCCCGCCTTTCTCTTATCACTCATGGAATGTAATGCATCTCCAACTTCCTATTTTTTAATACATCCTTTATTGCCCACCTTGCTTTGTAATGGTGCTTGCTTTATCAAACATTCTTTGTTATAGTGCTTGCTCTATCATACTTGCTTTGTTATCATAGTTGCTTTGAGAATGTTTACCTCATAACCGCCTCATATTTTTTTTTTTTTTTTTTTTTTTGAGATATATACAAGAGTTGTTACATTCTTGTACAGCCACTAGTACGCGTAGCGTTTCGGGCAGGTCCCTGGAATACGATCCCCTGCCGCGAAGAATCGTTTTTTCATCCAAGTACACATTTTACTGTTGCGTTAAACAGAGGCTACAGTTAAGGAATTGCGCCCAGTAAATCCTCCCCGGCCAGGATAAGAACCCATGACATAGCGCTCGCGGAACGCCAGGCGAGTGTCTTACCACTACACCACGGAGACTGCTCTTGCTTTCCTTATTTACTATTCTTACACCTTAAGATGCTGCTCTCGTCCCTGTGACCAGCTTAAACCACCCAACCACTTGGGATGGACGGTAGAGCGACGGTCTCGCTTCATGCAGGTCGGCGTTTAATTCCCGACCGTCCAAGTGGTTGGGTACCATTCCTTCCCTCCGTCCCATCCCAAATCCTTATCCTGACCTCTGCCAAGTGCTATATAGTCGTAATGACTTTGCGCTTTCCCTTGATAGTACCCTACATCCCCCGTTTTCTTCCACGTATCCTGAACATGTCATCATTGTCGACGATGTTTAATTCCTCGTCATTTCAGAATTCAAGTCAATAGAATTCATTTTTAATTCCTCTAAGAATCTTATACGTCGTAATCATATCCTCCCTCATGTTCCAGACGAGCAAGTTACCTTAATCTTTCTTCAGATTCCCACCTGTTCAGTACAGATGTCTTGTGGAATGCACGTGTTTTTGTTTTTGTTTGTTTAGATAGATATTCAGCAACCCCGGTTACACTTCTCGAGCCGTCGAAGGTTGGGATGCTTAGGGGAGCCGGTCGGCCGAGCGGACAGCACGCTGGACTTGTGATCCTGTGGTCCTGGGTTCGATCCCAGGCGCCGGCGAGAAACAATGGGCAGAGTTTCCTTCACCCTATGCCCCTGTTACCTAGCAGTAAAATAGGTACCTGGGTGTTAGTCAGCTGTCACGGGCTGCTTCCTGGGGGTGGAGGCCTGGTCGAAGACCGGGCCGCGGGGACACTAAAGCCCCGAAATCATCTCAAGATAACCTCAAGATAACAACCTTCTCTGTTCCTATTGTAATAAAATTGTCAGACTCATTCGTTAGCTTGATTGATTGTTGCCGTCGGAGGCGGCTAATTTATTGTGCACCCCATACCCATCCTGTGAGCGGTAGCGCAAAAAGCATTACAGAGGGGCACAAAAGGTCTTTATCAGACCTCATCTTAGATTATTTCATAAACAATTTCATCTATCCTTCACACCTTATAGTTACAATGTCAGCTAGTTACAGAGAAAGTGCTATTACAAGAGCTATATATTTACAGTAAGTTATTATACATTAATGGTAGGTCTTATCGCTAATACATAATAGTTTGACCAATGGAGATAGTCATAGGGGAGCTTCTGTTTAGTATTAGTCTTCACAATACACTACTTGTTTCTTCATCTCATATGTCGTTTATCTACTGGAAGCGAAATTCGTTAGCTAATTGGTTTCATCCTGACGAACCAATCTTGTGTGTCCTTATGTCTCATCTGGGTCTCTAGCTCCCGTCTCTGGTCTCTAGTTCCGCCCCTGGTCTCTAGCTCCCGTCCCTGGTCTCTAGTTTCCGTTCCTGGTCTCTAGCTCCCGTCCCTGGTCTCCAGTTTAAGTTCCTGGTCTCTAGCTCCCGTCCATGGTCTCTAGTTTCCGTTCCTGGTCTCTAGCTCCCGTCCCTGGTCTCTAGTTCCGCCCCTGGTCTCTAGCTCCCGTCCCTGGTCTCTAGTTTCCGTTCCTGGTCTCTAGCTCCCGTCCCTGGTCTCTAGTTTCCGTTCCTGGTCTCTAGCTCCCGTCCCAGGGTCTCTTGTTCCCGTCCCTGGTCTCTATAGCTCCCGTCCCTGGTCTCAAGATCCCGTCCCTGGTCTCTATAGCTCCCGTCCCCTGGTCTCTAGTTCCCGTCCCTGGTCTCTAGCTCCCATCCCTGGTCTCTAGCTCTCGTCCCTGGTCTCTAGTTTCCGTTCCTGGTCTCTAGCTCCCGTCCCTGGTCTCTAGTTCCCGTCCCTGGTCTCTTTGTTCCCGTCCCTGGTTTCTAGTTCCCGTCCCTGGTCTCTTTGCTCCCGTCCCTGGTTTCTAGTTCCCGTCCCTGGTCTCTATCTCCCGTCCCCTGGTCTCTAGTTCCCGTCCCCTGGCCTCTAGCTCCCGTCCCTGGTCTCTAGCTCCCGTCCCTGGTCTCTAGTTCCCGTCCTGGTCTCTAGCTCCCGTCCCTGGTCTCTAGCTCCCGTCCCTGGTCTCTAGTTCCCGTCCCTGGTCTCTAGTTCCCGTCCCTGTTCTCTATCTCCCGTCCCCTGGTCTCTAGTTCCCGTCCTGGTCTCTAGCTCCCGTCCCTGGTCTCTAGCTCCCGTCCCTGGTCTCTAGTTCCCGTTCCTGATCTCTAGTTCCCATCCCAGGTCTCTAGTTCCCATCCCTGGTCTCTAGCTCCCGTCCCTGGTCTCTAGTTCCCGTCCCTGGTCTTTAGTTCCCCTCCCTGGTCTTTAGTTCCCGTCCCTGGTCTCTAGCTCCTGTCCCTGGTCTCAAGTTCCCGTCCCTGGTCTCTATAGCTCCCGTCCCTGGTCTCAAGTTCCCGTCCCTGGTCTCTAACTCCCGTTCCTGGTCTCTAGTTCCCGTCCCCTGGTCTCTAGTTCCCGTCCCTGGTCTCTAGCTCCCGTTCCTGGTCTCTAGTTTCCGTCCCTGGTCTCTAGTTTCCGTCCCTGGTCTCTAGTTTCCGTCCCTGGTCTCTAGTTCCCGTCCCTGGTCTCTAGTTCCCGTCCCTGGTCTCTAGTTCCCGTCCCTGGTCTCTAGTTCCCGTCCCTGGTCTCTATTTTCCGTCCCCTGGTCTCTAGTTCCCGTCCCTGATCTCTAGTTCCCGTCCCCTGGTCTCTAGCTCCCGTCCCTGGTCTCTAGTTCCCGTCCCTGGTCTCTAGTTTCCGTCCCCTGGTCTCTAGTTCCCGTCCCTGGTCTCTAGTTTCCGTCCCCTGGTCTCTAGTTCCCGTCCCTGGTCTCTAGTTCCCGTCCCTGATCTCTAGTTTCCGTCCCCTGGTCTCTAGTTCCCGTCCCTGGTCTCTAGTTCCCGTCCCTGGTCTCTAGTTCCCGTCCCTGTTCTCTATCTCCCGTCCCCTGGTCTCTAGTTCCCGTCCTGGTCTCTAGCTCCCGTCCCTGGTCTCTAGCTCCCGTCCCTGGTCTCTAGTTCCCGTCCCTGGTCTCTAGTTTCCGTCCCCTGGTCTCTAGTTCCCGTCCCTGGTCTCTAGTTTCCGTCCCCTGGTCTCTAGTTCCCGTCCCTGGTCTCTAGTTCCCGTCCCTGGTCTCTAGTTTCCGTCCCCTGGTCTCTAGTTCCCGTCCCTGGTCTCTAGTTCCCGTCCCTGGTCTCTAGTTCCCGTCCCTGTTCTCTATCTCCCGTCCCCTGGTCTCTAGTTCCCGTCCTGGTCTCTAGCTCCCGTCCCTGGTCTCTAGCTCCCATCCCTGGTCTCTAGCTCCCGTCCCTGGTCTCTAGTTCCCGTCCCTGGTCTTTAGTTCCCCTCCCTGGTCTTTAGTTCCCGTCCCTGGTCTCTAGCTCCTGTCCCTGGTCTCAAGTTCCCGTCCCTGGTCTCTATAGCTCCCGTCCCTGGTCTCAAGTTCCCGTCCCTGGTCTCTAACTCCCGTTCCTGGTCTCTAGTTCCCGTCCCCTGGTCTCTAGTTCCCGTCCCTGGTCTCTAGCTCCCGTTCCTGGTCTCTAGTTTCCGTCCCTGGTCTCTAGTTTCCGTCCCTGGTCTCTAGTTTCCGTCCCTGGTCTCTAGTTCCCGTCCCTGGTCTCTAGTTCCCGTCCCTGGTCTCTAGTTCCCGTCCCTGGTCTGTAGTTCCCGTCCCTGGTCTCTATTTTCCGTCCCCTGGTCTCTAGTTCCCGTCCCTGATCTCTAGTTCCCGTCCCCTGGTCTCTAGCTCCCGTCCCTGGTCTCTAGTTCCCGTCCCTGGGCTCTAGTTTCCGTCCCCTGGTCTCTAGTTCCCGTCCCTGGTCTCTAGTTTCCGTCCCCTGGTCTCTAGTTCCCGTCCCTGGTCTCTAGTTCCCGTCCCTGGTCTCTAGTTTCCGTCCCCTGGTCTCTAGTTCCCGTCCCTGGTCTCTAGTTTCCGTCCCTGGTCTCTAGTTCCCGTCCCTGGTCTCTAGTTCCTACTTCGGTACATGTGTCTGTGTTTCGATTGAACAAGCAGATTGGACCATAAGGACTAAAATAATCCACATGTGAACAATAGGAACGTATTGTACTTTAACACGGTGGGGCCTGACAGCTGAGTGGACAGCACTTCGGATTCATAGTTCTGAGATTCCGAGTTCGATCCCCGGTGGAGGCGGAAGCAAATGGGCAGAGTTTCTTTCACCCTGGTGCGCCTGTTCCCCAGCAGTAAATAGGTACCTGGGAGTTAGCTATGATGAATCCATCGTTCTCGTCATTGGTAAGCATCAGCTATCACCTGGCTATCGTCAGGACCGTCGCATGCTCATCGTGTCGGTGTCCACCTTCGACAGGTCGTGTTCACCGCCCTGCTCGCCTTCGCCGCCGCCGCTAAGCTGCCCGGAGAGTCGCCGCAGCCTCCCACAGCCGTCGTGGAGGCCGCCCACCTGCAGGCGCCACAGCCTCCCATAGCCATCCTGCGGGACGACCGTCTGGCGCCGCATGGAGCCGTCTACAAGACCGACTTCGAGACCGAGAATGGCATCGTGGTCAGCGAGAGCGGCCAAGCTGGCTCGGGCGGCCAAAGTAACGCCGAAGGCTTCATCTCGTAAGTCGGATGATATCATCCCAACCTATATATGTCACACAAATTTACGAAACCCCTAGATCCCGTATATCCATTATCTCCATTTCAAACTCCTTTTGGGGTGTGGTTGCAGGTACACCTCCCCCGAGGGCCAGCCAGTACATATCTCCTACATCGCTAACGAGTTCGGCTTCCAGCCCCAGGGCGACCAGATCCCGACGCCACACCCCCTCCCAGCTCACGCCATCGCCCAAATCGCCTTCGCTGAGGAGCAAGCTCGCCTCAGGGCCCAGTCTGAGAACTGAGAGTGCCATTGACGGTGGTGCCACGGGGCTGGCACCCGTGGCACCCGTCTCGTCTACAGAGTGCCGCTTGCTACAGGCCGTCAGATTTCTCGGATAATCCGAGAATTATTTTTGTTATTGATTTTTGGTTTTATAGTTAGTCTCAATGACTGATATAGTGGAAGCCATATGGCTTCTGTGACGATGACAGCCATGTTTGTTTGTCACGATGATGGCTGTGTTGTTTGTCTGAATGACAGCCATAGTGTCTACCACATTGACAGTCATGGTGTGTCACTCAAATAGACATGGCGTCTGTCAAACTGACAGCTATAGCGTCTGTCACATCGACTGCCATGGAGTTTGTCACAATGACAGAATAACGTGCCACACCGACAGCCATGGTGCTTGTCAATGACAGCCATGGTGCCTGTCAATGACAGCAATGGTGACTCAATGACAGCCATGGTGACTGTCAATGACAACAATGGTGCCTGTCAATGACAGCAATGGTGACTGTCAACGACAATCATGACAACTGTCACAACGACATTAGGCTTTCACAACCACCCAATATTTCTCTCTAGTCCCAAAGAAAGCACATTTGTTTACAATACTATACTTATGTACCATGAAAAATAAAGATTCTCGCTTGATTGGTTATTATATATCCCAGGACGACTGAGGTACCCGGAAAATAATTTAATATTTATCCTACGACGGACGAGAGGTCAGACAGCAAGAAGACATTTGATACATGTTTACAACAAGTGTTAAACATGCTTAATGCAATTTTCATACAGTTGTATTGAAGCCATTGTATAAGTGTTGGTCGAAGTGTATGAGTAAGTGTGTGACTTGGAGGGTAGAAGAACTCGTAGAACCCAGCGCAGGTACACTCCAGGAGAAGGTTGCTCTTGCCTACCCACCCGGGTTGCAACCCAGCAACCCACTATGCACACCCAAACGCCCACCCGCTCGTCCGCCCGCCCGTTAACTCGCCTGTCTTCAAGGTTACCCGCTTTTAAACCAATTACACTCTCACCCCAACACTCCAGCCTGGAGCAATGTCTGCCATCTTCACCAGCACCATCATCACCACCATCTCCACCATTCTCACCATCAAAATCATCACCACCAACACAATCCCCAACATACCCGTACTTCACCACTGTTACAACAATTTTCACCCCTCCTCAATCCCACCACCACCACTAACACCAGTACTCTCAACAGTCCCATTACAACCACAATCACCACCATTACAACAACCACAATCACCATCACCACCACTAGAACAACCACAATCACCACCACTACAACAACCACAATCACCATCACTACCACTAGAACAATCACAATCACCACCACTACAACAACCACAATCACCATCACTACCACTAGAACAATCACAATCACCATCACTACAACAACCACAATTACCTCCACTACAAAACACACAATCACCATTACTACAGCTTCCATTATCACAGATATTCTGGACATAACCATGTACATCAGCAGACAGTCTGGACACAACTAGGTACATCAGCAGACAGTCTGGACACAACTAGGTACATCAGCAGACAGTCTGGACACAACTAGGTACATCAGCAGACAGTCTGGACACAACTAGGTACATCAGCAGACAGTCTGGACACAACTAGGTACATCAGCAGACAGTCTGGACACAACTAGGTACATCAGCAGACAGTCTGGACACAACTAGGTACATCAGCAGACAGTCTGGACACAACTAGGTACATCAGCAGACAGTCTGGACACAACTAGGTACATCAGCAGACAATCTGGACACAGGAATACCTTACAGCTGGAATACCCCAAACACCCAGCAGCATGCCTGAAGCCTGATGTCTGTACCCTTGCGAGAGGTGTCTCTAGCTCTCCTCTTCCTCTCTGTCTCTCTCTGTCTCTCTCTGTCTGTCTCTCTCTGTCTCTCTCTGTCTCTCTCTCTCTGTCTCTCTCTGTCTCTCTCTCTCTCTCTCTCTCTCTCTCTCTCTCTCTCTCTCTCTCTCTCTCTCTCTCTCTCTCTCTCTCTCATTTCCAGCTTTCATAACAAAGGTCCAAGCGAGAAGGATCAGGTAAGGGAAGCGGGGAAGGAAACGGGAGGGGGAAGGAGAGGGGTTAATCTGAGGGGGGGGGATAGTGGAGACGGAGGGGGGCGGGGGGAGGGAGATGAGACACACCAAGGTCACACACGCAGACCGTCTCCTGTGCACTTTCACTCTTCCTGATTGGGGAGGGGAGGGGGAGAGTGGGGGGGGGAGAGAGCTAGAGAGAGAGAGAGAGAGAGAGAGAGAGAGAGAGAGAGAGAGAGAGAGAGAGAGAGAGAGAGAGAGAGAGAGAGAGAGAGAGAGAGAGAGAGAGAAAGAGAGAGAGAGAGGTCTTACTGTCATGTACAAGGCAAACATCCTCAAAGTTCCGCACCTGGCCCAACTGCGTGGACAACCCGTAGTTGCCACCCGTAGCACTAGGTTCTCAACCTTCAACAGTCTCATGCTGGAAGTGCCTTTCTCAACAACATCTCTCCGTCAGCGATCATTCACTCCTACAATGACTCGCATCTGGAACTTGTTCGCTCAACAGGTTGATACACGGAAGATCAGGTCAACTGATCACATGAAGGCTCTGGTACACAGTTGGCTACACACTGATCCTATTCCTTATATAATTGTTACCTATTGTTGTTAATGAACAAAAGCTATTCCTACTGATGCATATAACAGGTTCATGAAGTAAATGGGCCTCAAAGAGTAGGTTTCAACTTAACTAAGGCAGGATTACAGCTCTTGCTTGCAGTTTCACCAGGTTCCTTATATGATAGTTCCCTATGTGATAGTTTCAAAAATACATTCTCATGAAACAAATGAGTCTCTAGGAGCAGGCTTCAGATGAGCTGAGGTAGGATAACAGCTCTTGATTTCAGTTTCACTAGGTACGTCATTCGACATCTCTTACAAACCCTAACCTTAGTTTAAAAAGAAAAGAAAAAAGATATAAAGACAGACAGAGATAAGAGGGGGGAAAAGGAGGGTGCTGAAAAGTAGGGATGAGAGGAAATAAGGAACAAGTGAGAGATAAGAGGGCTGGAAGGAGTGATAAAGGGATCAGGAATAAGGGACAGGGAAGAAAAACAGCAGAGAAGATTAAAGAAAACGGAGGAAGAGACAGAGAATTTGGGGACACTGAAGAAAACTTGGGGACAGAGGGTAGGTAGGTAGGTGAATGTGTTTGCGTGTGCTTGTACGTTCTCTTGTAGATATGCGTGCGTGCACCATACAGCGTTCATGCAGGTTTGGCATTTTAAATTTTCTTTGAATATTTGGAAAAAATGTTTCTTCATTTCATATCATGTCCTTTAAATTCTAAGTAACAATTTTAACTAAAATTCTCGCCATCAATATCAACTTCAATTAAGCCACGTAATTAAAAATTTTACAATCAATATTACACAGAACATACACGTAAAAAAAGAGATAAATTTTCAAAGTAAAAATAATATCTAGTAAAGTTGAGCTCTCATATAATTTCTTAGAATTTAAAAAAAAATTGCATAAAACCCCAAACCTAATACATTTACCTCAGGGGAATGAGACCAATTTACTGAAAATATATATAACTATGAAACCCCTCGCATCACGTTTTCTTTTTCCCGTTTTTTGTCATGAACTTGATATTTCAGGGAAGAGAGCGAGGAAGCTTCACATGAGGAGGAAAGAGAGAGAGAGAGAGAGAGATATCCGTGATGAGTGGAAATGAATAAAAGGAAATATTAAACTATATATATAAATTATAGTTGCGAGAAAGGCTGCAGGAACACACGAGCCATAGATCAATCTATACTCCAGGATTGGTCTTACATATGTGGTATACAAGGTTCTGAAGGTTACCTTATACAGGTTCCTGAAAGCAGTTCTGATGTTAGCCAGCCTCGCATACGCCGCAGACGTTATTCTTTTGATGTGGGCTTCAGGAGACAAGTTTGGCGTGAAATCAACTCCTACGTCTTTCTCTCTGTCCGTTTCGTGAAGAACTTCATCTCCCATTCGGTATCCAGTGTCTGGCCTTCTATTTCCTCTTCCTAGGTACGCGCATGTGTGTGTGTGGTTGAATTTGCGTGCATGTACATGCATGAACAACTGTAAACGATGAATATTCATTTATACATCATCCCGAGGCTTGTTAGGTTGCCCGCTCGCGTGAACACCGAAAACTGCGCAGTTGGCTTGTTTATGGGGAAAATACCCGGATACATGGTAGACGAACGTGTAATCTTCATTATGTGTGCGTGCTCGAATATACAAACACACGCGCACACACACACACACACACACACACATACACACACACACACGAAAACTGCGTGTGTGACCAAAGAGCCAGAGCTCAACCCCCGCAAGCACAACTAGGTGAGTAAGAAGGGCCAGAACACGATGAAAGGAAAGTACACCCCTATAACTAAAAAGACCTGTGAGTGGGAATAACACCAAACCAAACTATGGATGCTCCTATAAACAGAATAACATCAGCAGCATACACTAAGTTACCAATACCCAGAACATCATTCAGATATAAATGATTTAGAGTGAAGTTCGAGCAGCAATATTTGCAAATTTGCCAATGATACAAAAATCGGGAGAGAAATAAACACGGAAAAGGACTCACTATCTCTTCAAGACGATCTAAATAGAGTTTTGAAATGGTCAGAAGATTGGCAGATGCAGTTTAATGCTGACAAATGTAAGGTTTTAAGGCTGGGTAATGATGATATAGTTACAAGATACGAGCTGGATGGTGTTCAGATTGTGAAGTCAGATTGCGAAAGGGATCTGGGAGTTATGATTAGTAAGAATTTAAAACAAAAAAATCAATGCAGAAATGTTCGTAATAAGGCAAATAAGACGCTGGGATTTATTAATCGAAGCGTTACTAACAAGACACCAGGTGTTCTTCAGTTATATCTTGCTCTGGTTAGGCCCCATTTAGATTATGCAGTTCAGTTTAAGTCGCCGTACTATAGAATGTACATAAATTCCCCAGAACGCGTCCAGCGTAGGATGACAAAGTTATTTCCCCAAATTAAAAACCTGCCATATGAAGAAAAGTTGACAAAGCTTAAATTACATTCTCTAGAACGCGGAGAATTAGGTATAACATGACAGAGGTGTATAAGTGGATGAATGGGGTATAACAAAGGGAGATATTAATAGGGTATTAATATGGTATTAATACTAATAATTAATAATTAATATGGTATTAATACCTCCACTCATCTATTAATAGATGGGTGGAGCCCCCATCTAAAAAATAAAGGCAAACTCGAAAAGGTTTAGAAATTTGCAACTAGGCCCGTCTCAGAATTGCGAGGGTTTGGATCTGAAGAAAGACTGTAAGACCTAAACCTGTTAACGCTAGAAAAGAGGAGATAGAGAGATAGCTAGAAACAGAGAGAGAGAGAGAGAGAGAGAGAGAGAGAGAGAGAGAGAGAGAGAGAGAGAGAGAGAGAGAGAGAGAGAGAGAGAGAGAGAGAGAGAGGGAGGGTAGAGAGAGGTAATTGAAACATTTCAAATACTTTGATGGTTGACATATTGGGCAAAAAGAAGAAATGTTTTCAGTCACATAATAAAACAAGTGG